ATCCATCTCAGAGCAGCCTGCTCTTCGAGGTAGCAGGGGTAGCAGCTTGCCACCTCTTCCTGGGATTTCTTCTTCCTGCCCTTGGGCTCCATCAGACCACTGATGACCATTGTAGTGCTGCTGGCCAGAAGAGGTGCTGAAACTTATCTGTCCAGACCCCTACTAACTTGGGTTCTCCTCCCTCAATCCCAGCTCTCATCCTCCCCATGTCACCAGCCTGACTTTTTCTCTCTTGCCATCCAACCCCATCCTGCGGCGCCTCAGCAGCTTTAGCACAATGACTCCCAAGCTCTGTCCCTGTGCAGGTGCAGCAGTGGAGGGCAAGTCAGCCCATGACCAGAGCCCATGTGTGGCAAACCTCTTCCTGGCTGCATTGGCTGCTGCATGCAGCATCCCTGTGGAGAGAAACGGCTGTCGGGAAGCCAAGCAGCAGGTCAGACCAGCAATCTGGACAGGGTGAAGAGGTGTGGTCTCCACAGGGGCAGCAGCCCTTTGCAGGAGAATCTCTTTCTCAACAGTAGAATGGGGGGATCCTCTGGCTTTATTGGCTGCAGGGCTCATATTTGTGGACTGCACCTCCTCAGCCAAACAGCTTAGGAATGTAAGGATTCTTGAATCAATTAAGAGAGTCAGACTTAGGATCTGAACTGTGAGATGGGCTAAATAAAGAACTAGGTGATGCATGGAAACCATGAGGAATTCTTTTATTACAGTGATATGAACTGTAATAAAATAATTGAAAATAAAAGAACTGAAATTGAAGGGGCAATAAGAGGGAAAACAATTACAGGTTTACATTTGATTCTTTAACTCTTAGTCAACAAGGAGGGAAGCAGAGAAGGAATCTTACTTTGCTCATCTCAGCTCTGGAACTGTGCATCAAAGGCATGCTAGGTCATGGCAGATAGGCATCCCTTAGTAGACACAGGCAAGATGTAGGAAGCAGATGCTTTCTTTCATTAAACTGTTACTAGCATTGAACTCCTGTAGTCTGTGCAGTGCTTCAGGTGCCCAGAGTGTAAAACAGGCTGATTTCTGCAGGTTGCTCGTGCAGTAGCTGAAAAGCTTATGGAGGGAGAGAGCCAACAGCTTGCAAGACTTTTGGGGAGACTGGAGCACCCAGGCTGTTCCTTGAAAATCCTGAAGGTAACGACCCCATCCTTTTATCTGGCTCTGCCCAGAGGTGCCTGGGTCTTTGCTCTGGAATTAGGAGCATGGGGAAGAAGGAACTGTGGGTTTAGCCCTCAGTGATTCCCATCTGCCTAGTGTCAATTGTTGAATAAATGAGCCCATGGCAGCCATGGGGTGGAACCTGTCTACAGGGCCTGGTAGGCATCTCTCCCCTCTGCCTTGCAGATCCTCTATGCTGGCTGTCATGCCTGCCCGAACCTGTGCCAACATCTGGGAAAGAGCCAACCACTGTGGGGTTCCCTCATGCAGCTATTGAATGGTGAGGTAGGACTGACCACAGCCCTGGTGGTGGGGTAGGAGTGTGAGCAGCAGGACTCATTCCTTTGAGCGCAGGTCAGATGAATCTGTGTCAGAGGAGTTTAGGGGAGCTTAATCTGAAAAGTGCAGTTCTCCTCCGAGAGCCAGAAACACCTCCATCTCCCCTGCTGTGACTCTTGTTCCCTTGGTAGGTCCCTGTGGTGGAGGTGACCCAGGAGGCAGCCTGTGAAGCCTCTCTGTACCTGCTGGCCCTGCTCACCCTGCAGCTTCAGGCGTCCCCTCCCAAGTAAGCACACACTTTGACTCGTGAGTGGGAGAGGAACGTGCTCTGCCCTGAACAGCCCTCTGTTCTGCACACTGCCCAAAGCTGGGAACCTGGTCCCACTGATCCCTCCAATCCACACATACCAGCAGAATGCTGGGCAGTGTGGGTGGGTGCTGGGGATATGGTGAAGATGACCCAGTGCAGACAAGGAGGTGCTGTGAGCCAGGGCTCCTCCTGAAATGTCCCAACCTTGTGGGTATTTGGATGCTACTGTTCTGCATGATGTAGAGCTGTGGGAACATAGTGCTTCTCTTCTGGTCCCTGCATTTCAGGCGTGAGGAGGTAGTTACCATGGCTGTGGATCTCATCACCCAGTCTCCTGTTGTGTCCCTTGTGGTAAGCCACCCCCCGCACCAGAGCCACTACTGAGACCCCTGCATCCCATTTGGGCCTTGCTATTCCTCACTCAGGGTGGGATGAAGCTGAGGGATGAAGGGTCAGTAGTGACTGAGCAGATAGAAAGTCCCAAAGGTGCTGAACTCTCCTTGTCCCGCAGGGTGCTGCAGCATTTCTCCTGGCACAGCTCAGTCAGCATGGGGTGGCTTTGGAGCTCAAGAGAGAAAAGATCCTACCAGTGGTAACAAATGCATTGACAACACCTGCTGAGGTATGGGATGGGGACAGAGAAGCTGGGGATCCATGCATACCACACTTGTGGAGGTGTGCAAAGATGGGCTCAGAAGGGTGTAAATGTGATGCTGCTGCTCTCAAGCCCAGTACCCAGCTCTAGACTGTCTCCCACTCTCTTACAGCTGCAGCTTCCCCTGCCAATGGGTGCTGGTCTCTATGATGGTTTCTTTTTCCTCCTGCTGAAACTCCTTGAACAGGTACCAGTCTGGCCATCTTCTTTGCTTGGTCCCTGCCAAAAGGTGTGGTGGCAAAAAGGCCTGAATGCAGATTGGTAATGGGGCTGAGAGAACTGTGCAGTTTTAGCTGAACTGTGCAACCCCATGAAAGTCACCTTATATCCCTGCAGGGCTGTTGGGAGAGTGGTGGGCAGGGAGGGGTGATCCCTGGGCACACTGGAGTGAAGGAGGGCAGAGATTCCTTGGGACTGACACTATTGAAAGGTGCAGCAGGACCCATGGCCCATGTCTGTCTAGCCCTGACCTTCACAGGACTATGGGACTGGTAGAACCATGTATCAGAAGCCTGGAGGACCATGAAGGCCTCTGACATCTGACTCTCTGCCTCTAGGAGGATGTGGTCTTGGAGCAGGGCTTTGCTTCCTCAGAGCTATGGAGCCTGGTCTGGCATTGTGTTGCTGTGGTGCTTCATGTGGGCACCAATAGAGCAGCGCTGGAGGGAGACTCACCCCCAGCTGCTGGTCACCCCATGGCAGAGCCAGATTGGAACCTCCTCTCCCCTCAAGGTAAGAGCTGCAGGACAGCAGGGCATCTGCCCTGGGCCCTGCTTCACATCCTGCCCTCAGACTTGCCCATGTCTGTCCCTGTCCACATCTGTTTCTTGAGGTCAGAGGACTCAGGTGGTTTATCCTGAACATTGAAGTGTCTTCTGGGGAGAGAGGGCTGAGCTGGCCCATGCTGTGCCCAGTTGGCAGCAGCTCAGCTGAGCTGGCTGTGGAGGAACAAAAAAGGGTGTCTGTGCTGTGGAGAATGTCTACTCTGGTAGATGTGACCACCTGAGTGGAGATTTTCTGGTTTTGGGCAGGGAATCACAGAATCCACCCTGGAGCAGCCTTGAGGTAGCACAGACAGAAGTGAAGGGACTTTACAGCCCTCTCTAGCTTTACCCTTCTACCTGCTGTTTCCCCTGCAGGAACCCTGTTATTCCTCAGCCTGGCCCTCAGGGTCTTCACTCGTGAGTCCCACCAGTGTCTGCCTCAGCTCACCCAGTCCCATGGTATCCTTATGGTGACACTGAAGAAACTGCTGTCCCCTGGCTTCTTGGCATGCCTGGCACAGATGTGAGTTGTGGCAAGGGCTGAATTGGGCAGAGCTCAGCTGCTGAATGGGACATGGACATGAGCACACCAAGGGCTGAGTTCCTGACCTGGCACTTGCAGAGTCTCTCCTTAGTGCCTGGCATGGGGAACGCCCTTTGCACCTTTCCCTGAGGTTTTTCTGATCACCTCTGTATTAAGCTCTCTCTCTTTCACAAATTCAGGCAAGCAGAGAAGGATGGGGATCCTGAAGTTGTCCAAGATGTGGTCATCCAGGTCTGCCAGCTCCTCTCTTTCCCTTTTGCCATGGATGTGGATAAAGATACCTTAGCACTGATCATGGAGGCTGTGAGAGATACTCAGATCCCTGCCCAGCTGCTGCAGGTACTCTCTTGGCCCTGTGTTCCTCCTTCCTCCCATACTGTGATGACCCCTCCCTACATTGCAGTCCCCGATGCATGACACCATTTCACATCATGCCAGCAGTTCCTGCCCACAGAAGGATGTAATTTGGGTGCTATGCAGCCCTTGCAGAAGGTTGACTGGCTGCTAAGCTTGCTCTGACCTGCTGTCTGCCTTCAGCTGCTACTTGGCTTGGCTCACAAGTGAGTGCACTGCACTCAGCGGTGCTGTCTGTCCTTTTTCCTTAGGTCTGTGCTCACCACCTGCCCTTCTCGTTCACCGAGCTCCCTATGGGCCTCTTGTGCCAATTTGTGGTGTCTGATACACAGATCATAGACCAAGTGGTGAGGGAAGCTGCTGCCTCAGAGCACATTGTTGCCTTCTTGAAGTCTGTCTTGTTCTCAGACAATGTTATACTCACAAGTGACCTCCTGTCTCTCTTGACCCACGTGGCTCGGGCCTGTTCAGAACACCTGCCCTTTCTCCAGAGGATCCTAAGGGACTCACATGTGGCTGACCAGCCACTGACCTACCTGCTCAGCCACGAGCAACACCTGATACGGGCCAGAACCTGCAACTTGCTGGGCAACCTGCTCCGCCACAGTTTTTCCCCCCTGCTGCAGAGCCAGCCCGGTTGGCTGGAGAAGCTGCTGGAGTGCCTGTCGGACTCGGAGAGCTGCGTGCGCAGGGCAGCCACCTTTGCAGTGGGCAACGCCGCCTGCCACGCGTCTTGCCCGGCGGGGCCGCTGGGCAGGGCCGTGCCCACGCTGACCCGGCTGCTGGGGGACACGCAGGCCAAGACGTGCTGCAACGCGGCCCTGGCCCTGAGCAACCTGGGCGAGCGTGGGGCGGAGNGGGCCCGGGCGGGCGGTGAGTAATGGCGGCGTTGTCGCCCTCTGGAGCGGGGCTTTGCTCCCCGTGTGTCTCCCCGGGTTACACCTTCAGAGTTTCCCCACTCGGGCGTAGGGCCCGTGGCCCCTCTCCCTGCCTCCCCGGCTCCTCCGCTCGTGCCCGGGCCCCGGGGAAGTACCTCGCTCCACCCCGGGCCTCCTCTCGAGGCTCGCCATGGGTCTTGCCCTGTGACCCCGTGGGGCTGGGGGGGCGGTTCGGGTGCGCTCTGTGGCGAGACATGCTGGGATTGGCGGCCTGGGCGGCGCTCCGCCGCCAGGATACAGTATCCTGGTAGCACCTTTGGCTTCAGAGGCTTTCACTTGGAGAAATGAGACGCGGAGCATGTTCCCCGAGCGAGTGGCAGGGAGGAAGGACTGGCTCCCCAGCCACCCACGGCCCCAGGGAGCCTCTCTAACGGTGCCTGGAGTATTAGGATGGAGCTGGGATTGACCAGGCCCAAATGGGGTGCTGGAACATCTTGGCTGTCCATCCTTTCATTGGGGTCTTGGCTTGGCTGCTCTTTTGTTGTAAAAAGGAGCCGTCGAGTCTGAAAGATGAAAGGCAGAGCTGAGTTGAGACAAGCCTGGAGTATTTCCTGAATGGCTCCAGGGTTTGGGCAGGGAGTGAGGAGCGAAGGCGTTGGGAAGCCCTGTGACACTGTGCCCAGCCTCCTGTCTCCCTGTGCAGCTGGGCTGTGGATGTCTCATAGGAGGCAAAGTTCAGCCCCACAGCTCCACATCAAAACCCTGCCTACATGACTCCCTGAGGATTGTCTTTCTTATTGTGGTGTTCTCCTCACAGAATGGGCAAATGACATCTAGTAACTCCCAGATAGTTTGGGGGAATTTACACTGGATTGTTTGCCTTATTACAGTTTTATAGAATAATATTTCCACAATTCTTACTGTTTGTACCCAGTAGATAGTATTTGTCTGCCCTTCTGTTGCTCTCTTGCTGTTATTTTTTGTTACATAAAGTTCATTGATGACAATTGCCCCCTCAGTCAAGGGGTCCTTCTCAGCACAGCAGGGATTGCATTTTAAGGAGGAGCTGAGGGGACAAATGTCACCATCTCTGCATAACAGGGCCTGCATGGAGATGTCAGATCCCTGACCCAGGTTGGGGGCTTTGGCTGCTATACCAGCCTGGCTGGGTGCCACTCCTTGACATTTCCCAGGTTCCTGCCATGCATCAAGTCTGGGAGTATTTGGCAGCTTCTCACCTTGAGTCTCTGTTTCTTCACTCCTGAGCCCTGAGAGATTGCTGTATGGAATGAGGTTTGCAGTGCCTTCAGAAGAATTTTTCCCAGCCCTGTCAGGAGATGGAAGACTCCTCAGCACATACTGAAGGACAAATCTGGTAACCTTTTCTTCCGATTGCAGATACGTTTCAGTAAAAAATACCAAGAACAGAAGATGGACTAAGAAATTACGTGTTTTGAACTAATTGGGTAGTTCTTACCTCCTTGTCTATGTGCTGATATTTTATACTTGTTTCACTTACTGTAAATCCTTCACTATTATTTTTCTTCTAAAGGCTAGTCTGCCTAAGACCAGATGGAGCTGTGCTGACTGTCCTCAGATCCTACATTGGTGGCTAAACTCTCCCAGGTCTTGCCATGTAGTTCTCCTGTACCTTTTCTCCCATCATAAAGCTCAATTGAAAATACTGTCCCTGTAGACTTCCTTGGTGAAAGGCTGTTAAACACCTCATGGATTAGCTTGTTGCTTTTAACCCAGATTTGTTTCTTTACTCTTCTTTATGCTGCAGTAGAACTGCTTATGTTGCCCATGTGATGAAAAAACACAAATCAGGTGGGAGCAAGGGCAGGCACTTGCCAGTGTCACTGCTGGGGAAACAGAGCTGCATGATCCACTGTCACTGTGCACTACATCTGCTTCAGGGCCTGGGGGATCTGCCAGGGAGAAAATTGATATCCTTTGACAGCAGCAGGGACTCTGTGCTCTGCCCTTTACTGTGGTCCCTGCACTCTCTGGTCACAGCCAGGTCAGCCTCCTAGGGTAAGCACTGAGCCAGCCTTTTATTTTAGGTGTCCCTGGTGCACTCAAGCTACAGCCCTGGATTTTCTGCCTGCTGTGTGGGAGTTTCTCTCCTCATCTGGGAGAGAACTGTGCTTCAATGCCCTTAGAGCCTTGTAAAATCAAACAGACGAGCCTTCAGTGCCCAGCCCACCCTGTGTGTGCATGAAGGGAGGCATTTGCTGCAGTGCAGGGTGAGGTGGTGGCTGGATTCCAGATTTCCCATGGCTTGGTCCAGCATCCTGCTGTCCCTGAGGTCTGCCTTCACCTTAGGAACAGGAACACACACCTGAGCTACTCTGTTTCTCTTGCAGGGCAGTGCTCTGCTTAGGTAAAGGGTCATTTTGGGAAGCCATACACTCCTCATACTTCCGCTGTTCAGTGTGGAGTTCAGCACCACAGCTGATAAATGGAAGTGACCAGCTGTGGCACAAATGTAATCCTGGATATAGGTGGAATTTGCTGATGCATCATCACAGAGGTTGATTTCTCACTGGTATTTTTTTTTTTTTGACCTGAGTGGCCAAGCAAAAACTTGATGTCTTGATTAGGACAGAAATTGATTGTCATCCTCTGGATTTGCACACAAAATGTAGTTCTGCAAGGATGATACTGAAGCTGAGAGGGAACAGTGGTGCTTTACTGTGTGGCAAAGCAGCACACCAGGCTGTTGCACCCAACAGCATTTCTGTGTTGTCCTCATGGACAAATTGTGGCCAACAACACCCTCTGCTCTTCAGCTTGAACTTGCTGGTGGTCTCAGCTGCTCTGTCTTGGTGTGTGACTGCCCTTGAGACCACTTTTTTCTTGGAGCTGATGTAGGGGAGGGAGGGCTGTTTCCATGCTGTTGAAACACAGGTTTGTGCCTAGCTACCAGCCATTGGAGTAGTTCTAGGCATTCAGTTGGTTTCAGATCAATGTTGTTGATCTTGTTCAAAGTTTTAAATTCTTTGAAGGGATACAAACCCTTATTTTGAAATGTATGTTGGTTTTAAAAGCTGTTTGTTTTGTATTGTTGTTAACTTGCTTGTTGAAGCTTTAATCAAAAGTCCCAGAGCTGCGAGTGAGGAATTTGGTGTGAACTCAGGTCTCGTTTAGAAAAAGATGCTATCCTTTTTAATCATGAAGAGCAGAATATGCAGCCTACAATGGCATAGAAAATAATAACAATTGCAGTTGTCTAATCTTTCCTCCTTGTGACTTTAGGCTGTGTGTGGCTGACAGCACATTACTAGGTCAGCTTGCAGTGCATACATTTACAAGCTCTTGTTATTTGAAGTGTGTCACCAAGCTGCACTTAAAATAACCTCCACAGCCAAACTGCTCTGACAGTGGGATGATGTGCACACCCGGGCTCTTAAGGTCTTGTCCTTTCCTGTGGGAACAGGATTGTGAGGAGCTGCCACATTGCTATTAGAGGAGCACATGCTGCAGTGGGACTCAAGCTGGAAGAAAGAATTTTGACTGATGCATACTGGGGTGCAGAGAGGCTGGGGCACATGTTGGCCCTGTGCTCTTGTGGTGTGACATTTGTACAGGCTGTGGCAGTGCTCCAGCTGATGTCCCAACACTTGTGAGCAAGCTGTGTAGCAATAAAAGGTGCTGGCAGAATAATTGTAAGCAAGTGCAGCTGTACAGTCACTCCAACAATGACAGCTTCAGCCTCTGTATTGTGTGTCAATAAGTCCAAGCCAAAATCCATTAATTACTTGGCTGGGTTTGAATTCCAGCCTGGCCAGTTCACCCAGGGCTTTTCCTAGCTCATGTTTCTACAATAAAATTTCAAGAGTGTACTTTTATTGCCATTGTGAGATGCAGAACAGACTCCAGCTCCTTTGTTGTAGAGTTGGGTTGGCAGAACTAGGGATTGCATCAAGCTGTGACCTTCGTCCATCCCAAAACTCCAACTGAATTAAACATAAATGGAAAACTTCCCTGCTGGTAACCAACAGGGATTTACCCTGGGGCAGGTGATGTTGTTCCTGTCCAGAACTACAGAAATGTGGTAGCTGCTGTCCTGTTGTGACCACAACCTGGCAAGTGAAGATGCCTCCCTCCATCTCCATCAGGTCTCCTGAATGCTCAGCAGCTGCTTTGTCAAGCTGTCCTTGCAGTAAGGATGGGAGACAGTTTTCAGGTGGACATTGGCCGTGCTGGCTAGCAGGAGGCGTGACTGGGGGAAGGACAGGCACTATGGGCTGGTCTGCATGCATTGTGGCCTGCCTCCTGTGGGGGCATATTCCTGTCATCCTTCCTGCTCCTCCTGCCTCTGTCTCTGAGCTCCTGTGTCTCCACAGGGAAACAGTGATGGTGGCTAGCTGTTGGCCAACCTAGGCTTTACCTGAAAGTTGTACTAAAGGCCCTGCTGCTTTCTTATGCAGCTGCTGCTTGCTGCAGACCCCTCCCCTGTGCTGGCCCAGATGCTTCTGCAACTCCATAACAAAACTCCTTTGGAGAGGGGCAAGCTCAGCACATTTTTGTCTGCTACTGGGGCTGGATTCCAGGCAGTGTTAGCTAAGGCTGTGCCATGGCCAGACCTCCACCCTGGCAGCCACAGCTGTCAGCAGTGTCTGTGTCAATCACATCTGTGCTACCGTTGTCACTTACTCCAGATCAGGGTCACATAGGGCTTTTGCTGGCATTTTCACACCTGTGTATATAAGCTGACTGTAAGATTCACAGCCCATGTTACAGCTTCATTAGGCCACATCACTTTTATTTTTACAGCAGGATGATTCACTGATAGCTGTAAAGCCGGGTGGAGATGAGGTACAGATGGCTTTCACTTCGGGCTGGTTTTACAAGGTCATTCACAGCCGGATGAGAGTGCAGGCAATGGCCAAAGTGGCAGTGCAGGGAGATTCCACAGTGACAGACCCTCTAGGCAGGAACATTTTAATTCTCCTTGGATTTTAATTTGCTCTTTAACACCTATGTTCACTGCTGTGCTAGGGTCACTTTGTGGTCTGAGTGGGCTTGTGAGCTGGGTGCATCTGTGGCGCAGTGTGTGGAAGGCAGCTCTGCTCTCTTGTTTACTGGTGGAAATTTGAGCTGGGCAGATGGTGGCATCTGAGCCACATCTTCTTCATTCTGTGCTAATCGCTGTGAATGTCACAACACAGCCAGGTTTGCTGCTGGGGGCAGATTGGGTAGCAGTGGAATCGTGTGGTACATCTCAGTTGTGGGATTCTCTTCCCTGGGGCTTGGAGCCCCTTTGGGCTGCAGCTCCCACTGGGATGCAGGTCCCTGTTCTCATCAGAAGTTCTCAGCTTGACTGTAGAAGTGCTAACAAGCAATGCAGCCTATGGGCATGGAATGGACTTGGCTCCTTCCATATGGGTAGCAGCTCTCCTTGAGAATGTGTAGCGCCCTTGGGATCCTGCATGGGATATTCCATCTCCTACATCCTCTGGCTGAGATGCTGCTTACCTGTGTGCTGGAGATGAGCTGATTCACAGGTTGAGAAGGTCTGGCAAGTGTCGGTCTGTCTGACCCAGCCCTGTGGTGATGTGAGCTGCTGTGAAGGTACTACAGAGCAACCTCAGGGTCTCCAAGCTACACCTTAACTGCCGCATCTGAGGCTCGTCTTTCAGGTGAGAAAGGAGTGTGTATGTGTATGGCAAAAAAAGGAAGAGTGTGATGGTTGATGCACTGCTTATCCTTCTTTTTATACCTTTTTTTTAAAAACATGCAAACGTGTGAGAGCTAGAAGGTGGAAGAACCAGCCAGCCTGCTTGGAATACAAATTCCTATCGCAGCTGTATCCAGGGGCCCTCCAGGCATGTATTAAAGCAATAACTGGCTAATGGTTTGTTTTTTCTTTTCCCTTCTCCTCAGGGAGATGAGGATGTTGCAGGTATGGTGCAATAGTTCATTCCAGGAAGATTCAGGACACATACATCTGCAGCTCTGTGGTCTGCCAGTTTGCTCCTTGCAGGAGACTTTTCTATAGGACTGTAGTGGGGAGAAATTACTGCCATTCTCTTCTGGAAACAGTGGTGTTGATGTTAGAACAGCCCTGCATTTGCTTCTTGCTGCCTTCTCAGTCCTGAGCTCTGTCGGAAGCCTCTAGCCTTCACTGAGCTTTTCTACAAGAGTGAGAAATACGTTCCTTTTAAAAGCCAGGGCTGAGGTTCTCAACTAGTTGTGTAATCTTGTGAGCTGAAGCTTTAAAGAGCACGGAGAAAAAATAAGCAGACGATTTGGGGCTTGTGGCAGAGTCAGGAGGTTGATGTTGGACACACAGATCTATAGGAGTGGGCTCGAGCTGCCATGTGGGTCCCAGGCAGGCAGAGTCTAGTTGCAGACAGGGTGACTGTGCTGGGGCTGCTACCCCATGGCCCTGGTTGGCAGTCAGGCACCCGTGTGTTTGCAGGATACAAGCTTTCCTGCAGATGGCTCTCTTTACATTGTTCTTTGTGTCCTCTGGTTTCATGTGAGATGCCAGCCGTTCTTTGACTTTGTTTCAGGAGAGTCTCGGTGAGCTCAGTAAATGGGAGATGTGGTTTCCATCCTGCAGGAAAAGCAGCTCACCCTGCTTTCCTCATGTGGAATTGGGCTGGGTGCTGTGTCCTGACAGGGCAACAATGTCTTTCATGGTGTCCTTTTGTTTCAGGCCAGCAAAGATGCTGCTGTAGGTGACCGATGCGCTTGTGCCTCATGTGCTATGGCTCTACATGGCGTCTGCAGGACCAGACCATGCTAATCTGGGTCCCAAGCAGCAGAAGAGCATTGGGCTGGAGTCAGCCACCCTTCCAGCAGAAAGACCTCAGCCGTGCTGGGCCTGGCGCCTTGCTCAGCAGCAAGCAAAACCCATCTGGAATTTAGAGAAGAGATATGTGAATGCTTTCCAGGATCGCATCCTGCTGCCCTCAGGGATCCCTCTGCAGCAATCCTGCTTCTCATGCTCGCCATCACTATGCCATGCACAGCCCACTGAAGACAGCCTCCAAAGCCTTCCAGACACTGGGTCTGTCACGAGAAGGGCGATGTCTTCCATGCTGATGGAGCCCTGCCTGCTGGCAGAGGAACGCTCTAGAACTGGAGTCAAAGGCTCTGCCTTCAGATCAGGTCAGCAGGCTGCCAGCTCCTGTAGATCAGTGCTCAATAACAGCTCCTTCCTACGGCCAAGTGGTGCTAAAGTGCCTTTTCTGCAGTCACTGAAGATGAAAAAGGTGGAAAACACCCGGAGTTTTCCTGCTGCTTCATGGTCCCACTTTGGGGACAATAGACACAGCTTCCATAGCAGCCTGATCAACGGAGCAGTAATGAACAGCAACGTTGTGTCAGAGCAAAACACAATCCCCTCCCTTACCCCCGTGCCAAGCAGTGCAGTCCTCAGGAAGGACCAGTGCTCGTTGGAAGATGCTAAGGGAAGACTCCGCGGCTCAAAAGAGAAGGAACCAGAGAAGAGCCTCTTGAAGGCTGTGCAGTATCTATCTAGTCAGGCTGTCACATGCAGAGGCTTTGGATGCCAAGTTGAAAGTTCTGGCCTTATGAATGTGGGCAGCCAGTCCAACCAGAACGGCAGGAGGAGGCAGCATGTTGGAGTGCAGAGCACCCGGAAAGAAAGCATTGCTCCCCTGAACTCGGAGCTGGGGAGCCATTGCCTTAACAGTAACTCGAGCCTTACGGGCACCTGTGAGGCTGCTGCCTGCACTAAGCAGATCAGTGTCCATCCCTTGGCTTCGCATGCTGATGCTCCTGACTGCAGCACTGGCTGCCGTCCCGTGGGTGTGCTGAGCCCTCTGTGTGCTGGGGACCGCCTGGCAGGAACAGAGCCTCTGCACTTTGCTGCCATCTCTGAAGTGGCAGCACAGGTGTCCACCATCCAACTGGAAAAAGAGGAGGAATGGGCCCAGGCTGTGGTCCCAGGAAAGCTGAAGTAAGTAGAGGCAGGAGGAGGAGGGAGGCTGCGGTGGGATATGCCAGGCTGGCTGTTGTGTCCCCATGCATTGGGGAGGATGCACTGTGGGCAGTACTAGGTGGCCATAAGGCTGTGTCCATGAACAAAACCCACGTGCAGCATCCTAGTGGATGAGGCACCTTCCTGCAGCCTCCAGCTTGACACAGGCACTCAGGATAGCTCCAAGCTGTTCCACCTTCTCCTTCAACCACAGCATGGAATTACTGTGTGGCATTTCTAGTTTGTTCTTCTCAGTTGGAGGCCCTGCCTGCAGTGATAAGCTCTGCACGTATGTTGAATGAATCCTGCTGTTGAGCCAGACCTTCCTAGTCAGACACATGGGTTCATAAAAGAACACAAAGCTAATATAGGATAGAGAGGGTGTGAGAACATGGAGCTCTTGCTCTCCTACTGGGAGAGGGTGTTCTTGTTCCTCTTCTTTCTAGCTGCTCTGGAACATATTCCTTCTCAGCCTGGTCTGGGGCCTTTCCATCTTGCTAGCTTGGGATGAGTGCTTGTACATCAGCACTGGAGACAGCAGTGCCCTCATTCCCCTGCCCACATTATCTCATGCTGCCTCATGGGCTTCTGGGTTTTTGGCCCCAGAAAGTATGTACCATTCCTTTTGTCCCAGTGCTACTGCTGAGAAGTCACTGCTGGAGCCAAGCCATCCCCAGGATGAAGCAGAGGAAGAACTTCCTGATGGACTGGATGAGAGCTGCAGTCAAGAGGAGTATGAGGACAGTGAGTGCTGGTTCCCCAGGGCGGGCTGTGCTCCATGCCTCAATGTGGGGAGTGCAGGAGCTGTCTGGGAGCTGTGGTTGAGCACAGCTGCTTTCCTGTCGTACATTCATGCTGCCATTTCAGGATGTACTGAACCCAAAAGTGATGTAACAGCAAGGAGGAACTGCATGGGTTCCTTCTGGGAGCAAGCTAGGACCACTGTCCTTCTCCAGAACTTACCACCTCCTCTCTTTGCAGGGCTGTCAGCTCTGCTCCCTTCCCTGTTTTTACAATCCCTATTGGTGGGCAAAAGCCAGGATCCAGGGATTTGGGGCAGCTGGAAGGTCCTGTCCCCTGGAGGATGTGTTTCCTCTCTTGTGTGTTTCCCTAACTCTGTGTGGATTCACTCCTTACAGAGACAAAACTTGGGTCTCTTGTCCCTCCTGCAGGTGACTCGGATACTTCCTCTGATGCCGATGTGTCATCCAGTGACTCCGTGGCTCCCGTATCCAGGTTAGTAGCTGTAAACAGTGCACTGAACTTGGTATATTTTTCCAGACTTGTCCCAGGACCCGAGGAAATGGCCTGAAGTTGTGTCAGGGGAGGTTTAGGTTGGATATTAGAAAAAGGTTCTTCACCCAAAAGGTGGCTGGGCACTGGAACAGGCTCTCTAGGAGGTGGCCACAGCAGCAAGCCTGACAATCCTCTCAGGCACATGGTGTGACTCTTGGGAATGGTCCTGGGCAGGGCAGGGAGTTAGACTCAATGATCCTTGTGGGTCCCTTCCAAATCAGCGTATTCTGTGATTCCATATCTTTGTACTCTATGGTGACAGAGGAGATGGTAGCATGTGGGGTAAAGGAGTGAAGGCAGGAACAGATGTCCCAGCCAAAGAAAGTTTCCTTGCTACCCTGCAGACTAGAACTATGTCTCCTGCTACAGACAGCAGCCTGTAAAGTGTTAAGGGTGCATCTACTGCAGCAAAACAGTGGTCTTCATTTCACTGGTACTGACAGTTGCTGAGTTAGGTTTACTGGATTACATAGTGCTCTTCCAGTATCATTGTCTGGTGGATGAAGCAGAGTGGAGGTGTCCTGGGCCAGAGATTACAAAAGCAATCTTTGGAGTTTCGTGTCTTAATATAGCATCCTAGAAACAAGTCCCGGAGCCTGAGATTTTCATCAGCTTTTGGGAGAATCTTTGTCTGGGAAGGACTGCTCAGCTTGTGGTCATCCGAGCCCTGCCTTCCATGACTCCTGGCTGACCTTTGTTGGACCTGTTTTTGCCCATCTGGCAGTGGGAGCTGGTCTTCTACCAGGGCTGCCTCAGGCTTTGTTGTCTGCCTGACAACTTGCTGCTTCCAGTCATGTCATCACTAATCTGGGAGACAAGCAAGGCTTTCTGTGAGCAAGTGTTGAGCCTTAGGGTGCTGCAGAGTTCTGGGTGTGCACATGCAGTTCTGAAAGTCTTGCAGAAGTAATGTAAACTGGCCCAGCAGCTGTTTCTGGCAGGATGTGTGTGGTTGGCCTCTGGGGCAGATGGGGGAAGCAGTGCTTGGGCTAAATGCCTCTTGCAGCAAGCGGGGAGGGATGTTGACCACTTCTTTATGCAGGCTGTGTGCTGGCCAGGCCTTGAAACCTTTGCAGCTGTTTCCTGCCTTCAGTTTGTTGTGGGCAAAATAGTTTTGTGCCAGAGAATGTTAACGAATATAATCCTTTGCCAGTTAATAAACTTTTAATTATTGATTTCAGTACTGAAAATAAAAACAAACAAGGACATCAAGAAAACTCCTTCCCTGTCCTGGTCTCCAATTCTTTTGCAATAAGCTACACTCAGTCCCTTCAGTGAGGCAAGGGGTGGCCTGAGAGATTGGCGATAGTGTGTTGTAGTTCCTTTTCTTTTGCTGCTCTTTGTTTCTTATTGGATTGTTCTGGTGTGGCTTCTTCAACTGGCTGCAGTGGCGTATATTTGAATATACATTCTTTTCAAACCCTACTTTTCACTTCATCACAACCTTAATAGAAACATTACAAATTCTATCCCTCCATCCAGGTATTGAGGCTTGCTGTGGTAAGGTGTACATACAGTGGGTATAACTCCATGCCTCTTCCCTGCAGCACAGCAAAACCATGCACGTTGCAACAGTTAAATCATATGCATTACAATCTCCAGCCCATGGACAAGGTTATAGGGTGTGTTTTGTAAAAAACTCCACTCCTTGCCCCAGAAAATCACAAACCCCAGAGTGGTTACTTGGCATTGCATTCATTGCAGATTCACCCCCTCATTGCTGCAGACTGAGTTACTGACCTTAGTGCCCATTGCTTGCACCACATTGTGATGATGGTGAGGTGCAATTCCTGATACCCAGATTAAGGCTTTTTCCAGCTTCCCTCTTCCTTTGTTACTTTTCACTTTTAGCCAGCTGCCTACTGCTTCATCTTTCTTAGGAATTGCATCGAGTGCCTGGCCCAGCCTGCTGAAGCTCAAGACAAAGTGCTCAAACCAGCTCTTGTCTGCAGTTTATTCCCTAATGTGCCTCCAACTATCTACTTCAGTACTCGGGATGAGACAGGTGAGCCAGGGTCTGTTGTTGCACAGGGTGAGAGTGGCCAGCCCATTATAAGGCTGCAAGTGGTACTAGCACACAGCCTGGAGCTGGCTGGCAGTGGCTGCCCTTAACCCTTCCCATGATGAAACCCAGCACTGCTGTGAGATCCTAATTACTGCAGTAAGCTGTGTTACTTCTGTTGCCTGGAGCATGATTCAGACTGCCACTAAATGTTCCAGTGTCCTGGATCTCCCCCAGCTGTGGAGTCTTCTGCTCCATGATGGTTCTGCAATGAGGGCTGTGCATCCTCGCCTACAGGCCTGGTGCTTGTGCAGCAAACCATAAGAATTTTATGACTGTAGTAAATCCAAGTATTGTGTTTGTTTTCCTTCGGTCTTTAACTTTTTGCCTTCCTAGTGGAAAAGCTGCCTTGGGAGCAGAGGAAGCTGCTGCGATGGAAAATATGCAGAGTCACGCCTAACATAGTGAAGCAAACCATTGGCAGGTCCCACTTCAGAGTTAGCAAAAGTAAGTTGGAGGAGGCAACATTGTGTCTTTCCTTGCTTCCAGTGGGTGGAAACAAGAAGGCAGACTGCCTGCAAAGAACAGAGCAGAAGCAGCAAAGGCTTGGCACTGCTGGATGCTGGGTTCACATTTTTGCCTGTCTGACCTGCAGTAACCAAGGTCTGTGGGTCCCAGCAATGTCAGATCTGCCCTCTTGGTTTGTTCCTGGGATAGACCACGAGGAATTGCTCCTGGGCTGTCAGGAACTGAGGCAGATGTGAGGCTGGTTTGCTCTGGCTTGCCACTGAGGAGGCTGGCCCTCATGTAGTGCCAGGCCCAGCACTCCTGTCTCCATGTACTGAGGAGAAAGGCATCTTCTCTGACCATAGCCAGAGTTCTCAGGGTTTGGAGTCTTGTTACTGAAGAGATGTGCAGGAGAAGCGCTGAGCATTTGCAGCCTATCATCCGTACTCTGGAATGTGATCTCCTGGAAGTATTTATGGGACTCCTGCATGTATGAGGAGACCTCTGTACGGACTATTTTGGGGCTATAATGAGATATGGAGGGCAGAGGAAGTTCTAAGAAGTTTTGGCATCCTACATGTCCCACAGCAGCACAGCATTCATTAGGCAATTGCTTCATTTGCTAGCTGTAATGCAGAGAAGTCAGGATGCTGGGAATTAAAGGCATTCCTTTGACCCTGTGCCTCTTCAGGTGCTTGCAACCTGCCATATTTGCAAGGGTATGACCCACTTGGTTAACTGGATGCCAGTCACAGCCCTTGCTTTGGCAGCTGTGCAGTAGCAAGTGTGAGTGCTTTGTGCTATAGCTGTGCAGCATCACTGGCACGCTTCTGCTAGCCCAAGGAGATGGGGTACTGTGGATTGAGAGAGTGTTGTGGGTGGCAGGGTACTCATGGACTTTCCTGTTTTTCCTGCAGAAAGCAATGACTGGTTGGGTTGCTGGGGCCACCACATGAAATCCCCAGGCTTCAAAGCCATCAGGGAACACCAAAAGGTAGGAGCTGGCTTTGGATGACCTCCTTCACATGCATGGAGAGTGTGTTCGAAGCATATTGTGTGCCCCTCTCCTCAGGGCCAGGTGTTTGCTGTGAAAGCTGTCCCTGCAGTGTCCCTTCCAGAACTGGGAGAGGAGTCCAAGAGACAGGCATAGCTGGATGAGCATCTCTGCTGTGAGGGTGGCTCTTGTACAGACTGAGGCTGTAGCCAAATTGTGTTTATTTGTGAGCTGCTCTAAATTCAGTCATTGGTACTTAAAGCAGTCCTTCTTCTGGTGGAACTGAGGGGTAGGGACAGTGCCCTTGCAGCCAGTGCAGCAAAAGGCATATACCTTACTCCAATCACAGAACAGTCAAGTGTGGCTCATGGCTTGAGAACCTGTGAGGGACCAAAGATTTGATATCTACCACAAGTACATGCCTGCTCTGAAGAGCTGTGATGCTCTAAACTCTGCAGTTTGTCCCTGCAAAGCTTCAGGAGTAGGTGGAATCAGTTTGGGTGCAATCTTGAGAGGGGAGCAAAAACTATCACCCTGCACTGTATTCAGAAATGATGTATCCTCTGCCAAAGGAGCAGGAAGGAGTGGGCAAGGAGTTGGGGAAGCAGAGAGATCTCATAGCATCTGTGTTCCTTTCCAGCTAAACCATTTCCCTGGTTCATTTCAAATTGGAAGGAAGGACCGTCTGTGGCGCAACCTGTTGAAGATGCAGGCTCGCTGTGGGAAAAAGGAGTTTAATTTCTTCCCTCAGTCCTTCATCCTGCCCCAGGACATCAAATTACTCAGGAAAGCATGGGAGGAAGGAGCTAGCCGACAGAAATGGATTGTGAAACCAGTAGGTGTAAAGCAGAACTCAATCCTCTGTCCTCTTGTAGGTGCAGGCAAAAGATCTGATCCTTTCTTGTTTGTGTTTTGCAGCCAGCATCAGCAAGAGGCATTGGTATCCAGGTCATCCACAAATGGAGCCAGCTCCCCAAAAGGAGACCACTGCTAGTACAGAGGTGAGTGAATATAAAACCAAGGCTGACACACAGCCTGGCACTTCTCAGTATCTTGTATCTCTGGTTAATTCTGGGCCCCTGGCACTGTGTGGCAAAGCAGAAGTACCTGATTTGCATCTGGAGACTTCTCTGGAGACTGCCTGGTTGTCCTGCTTCTGGAAGTTTGTCTCCATCAGTTGCAGCTGGGCTTACTGGAGTGCTGCTGTCTTTGTGTGTATATTTGAGGTCTCAGGCACAAATTGGTTTCATGAGCTTTCTGGAGCTTCTGTCTGTCAGGTGGACAGCTTCAGCTCTGCTGTGATCCAGCTCCCACTACTCTGTACTCTGGGGTTTGGCATGTTTGGAGACAAACCAACCTGATCCAGTTCACACAAGGACAGTGGGAAGAGAAGTCCCAGGGAAGAGGTGGCAGTTGTCAAAGATTTGTTCTTATCCAAGTTAGAATGGTTCAGTAAGAGCCTCAGTACACACAGATGTTAATCAATGGATTTTCTTGAAATAACAGAGTTCTCAGTCTCCTTCCTCTTTTGCAGAAAAGTGGAATAGTTCATCTTGATTTGAGGTTGCTTTCTGGGAAGATTCTTATGAGGGCAGGAAAACTGCAGTGTTTGGCAGGCAGGGAACTGTTGTTTGCTTGTTAGTTCTCCCTGTCCACTTTCCATGCAAAGAGATAAACTTTCCTATGGAAAATCATGAATTTATGGGATGAATAATCAAATGATTTGGATTAAAATACCCAACTGTTTCTGCTCACTGTACAAAACCATCTGTGGTGTACTGCATGTCTTAGATGTTCCTGAATATTGTGATCAGCGCTGTGGGTGTGGAAAAGCTACTGTGCCTTAAAACTGGGAAAAAATCTCTTCAAAATGGAACTGAGCAGAAGGAAACACTGTATGTGCTGCAGAAGCTCCTTGTGAATGGGAGAGCTGCTCTTTCTCTCATTTTGTCTGTGATGTGATTAACTTGGAAATGCTGTGCAAAAAGGCTTCTGCATTGATCCCTTGTTTTGCCAGGGCTTCCGAACTGGGGATTAGAGATGTTCCTGCATATGAAAATCATAACCCTCATGTGCTTACTTCCCTCTGCAGATATCTGCACAAACCCTACCTCATTGGCGGGAAGAAGTTTGACCTGAGGATCTATGTTTACGTCACTTGCTATGATCCCCTCAGGGTCTACCTGTTCAAGGATGGATTGGTTCGCTTTGCCAGCTGCAAGTAGGTTGTGCAAGAGAGTGGTGCTGGGGGCTGCCTTGGTGCCCAGGCATCTGTGGCTGTGGTACCCACCTTGGCTGGGGCAGGAGGGAGTCATCCCTTATAAGGGTGATGCCTAAAGCTGTATCTTGTTTGCTTAAGAAGCAGTGTGGTAACACACGGGGTCGCTGCAGGTGACTGTTGAAAGGGAATGTGAGACGTTGCTGCCTACATACAGCCTTCCCAATGAAAGATCAGCTCAGTGTGAACCAGTTCTTGAAATATGTTATCTGTGCTTCATTCTGCATAAAAGCTGGCACAGCAGAAACTGAGATGTTTCTTCTTGTTTTCATTGTGTTGCCTCAGGCTGCTGCAGTTCCATTAGCTCTTCTGCTCACTGATGCTCTGGCTTTTATTTCTTGAGGATATGCTGTGAGGGTGGGATTGCATTCCACTGTCCCAAGGCATCCTGTTCTGTCTTGTGTTTTGTTCCATTAGCTCTGGGCCTGTGGGGACAGAGAACTGTGGGAGCAGGGCTGGTAGATGGCTGACAGTGGTCTTAGATGAGAACAGGGTCTGTACCTGCCTTGTGGACCTGGGGACAGCCACTTCAGTCTCAGGCAGCTTGTATTCCTCTTGCCTCTTCCAGGTACTCCTCCTCAATGGAGAGCCTCAGCAACAAATTCATGCACTTGACCAACTACAGTGTGAACAAGAAGAACACAGAGTACAAACCCAACTCGGATGAGACTGCTTGTCAGGGACACAAATGGTAGGTGCTGCTTTTAGGGTACAAGGTAGCTTCTTTCTATTTCCCATTAAGTCAGACTTTTTTCAAGATTCTTACCCAAAACTTGAACTGGCTTTCTGTATCATCTGCTCCCACTTGGGAAACTGAAAGAACAGAGTGATTTTAGCATAAGTTAGGTGTAAATGGAATCTGGATGGTCTCCCTGACTTGTGACTCATCCTGTCCAGTGCTGCTTGAGCTGTAGGTGCTGTTCATCCTGCCTGTATCTGTGCTATTCCCTGCTTCCAATGCTGAATTCATCTCTGCTCATTCATCCCGTTCCCCTACTGTGGGGGCAATGGGATGTGGTTAAAGCAGAATCTGATTGGCTTTTGTTAGATATTGAATTGATGATGCTTAAATTGGCTAGATGGGAGCTTCTGCCCATCTCACTCTAGTCTTTCCTGTGAAGGCAGAAAAGGGGACAGCCCTGGTTCTGAGCTGTTAATTTATGTGCTACTCAGTGGGAATAGGAGCAGTGGTGCCATTTCTAACCTTTGCGGGGAGGCTGAAATCTTGCAGGAGTTCCCATTCCTAGCTGTCCCATGGATGAATGGATGCAAGCCCCAGGAACTTGTCTCTGATTCCATGATGGTGTTAGAACCCTTTTAAAAATAGTGCAGGATAGAGTTCTCAATTCTCAGCCTGGGAAGGCTACTACACTTCAAAGGGAGTTGCAGAAGGTGTTTTTCTGTGGCCAGGTTGCTTAGACCTGGACTTGCTGCACAGTGGTCTCTTCCTCCACTGGGACTTTTAGCAGGGTCGGCTGCCTCTCAGCAGTTGCAATTGCATGGAGGTGGGGTTGTGTGGGTTTTCCATACTTGCATGCAAGTCAAAGCTGGCTGCTTCTGTGTTAAAGATCAGTGTGGCTGTAATCCACTCCATCTTGTATGCAGGAAGCATGACCTTTGGATTCCTGGCCATTAGCCACATGGTCTCACTTGAGAAATATCTGAGCATCCTTGGCTCAGTGTCATAGTAGCTTGCAGCACTCACTGTGGCGTGGGAAACTCCTGTAAAAGCATAGATGCTCCCCCATACCATCTTGTTACCCATATTATTTTCATCCCTGAAGCCTCAGTGAAGTGGCTTTAGCTAAAACATTTTTGGGGTCTTGTTGGATCCCTGCTGAGCTACTTCGCAGTGCTGCGGGGGAAGGCCTGCAGGAAGGGGAGGTTTGCTGAGGACATGGAGGGGGAGGGAAGAGAAGATCTGGGCCTGACTTACCTTGCTCATGTGCTAATTTGGGACTGTGCTGAGAGAAGTCTATGACAGATTCATGTTCCTAGTAGCTTGGGCCTTCAAGACCAGGGGCCAGGCTGGGGAGAGCAGCAGCTAGGAGCTGAGAGAGTTGAGGATGTCAGGAGGATTGCTGTGCCAGGGAAGAGTGCTGTCAGGGTTCCCCTCTGTTGCTTTCACCACCTGCAGGAAGGGGCTACAGAGCTACCTCCTTTGCTTTCTCTCTCACAGGGCACTCAAAGCTCTCTGGAGTTACCTGACCCAGAAGGGAGTTAATAGTGAGGCCATCTGGGAGAAGATTAAGGACATCGTTATCAAAACCATCATTGCGTGAGTCTTGGCACTCCCTTGATCTGTGTGTCAGTGAGGTGCACCCTGGCCCCTTTGTCCAGTCCTTTCTCAGCCTGGTCCTTTTGCTCTTAATTAAAATGGCATCACTGCTGTTGCCTTCAGTATTTCTCTGCAGATCCCTCCTTTCATCTTGTTACTTATGCTCCTGCTACAGTAGCTGCAGTGGGTAAATAGATCTTACATTTCCCTGACCTGCCTGAAGGCCAGGAAGATGCAGTGTACCCAAAATTGTCCAGCTTGCCACCTGCTCCTCTGCTTTGCCTGGGAGCCTGAGAGAATGGTCCCTGGTGCAGGATAAATCTTGTATTCAGAGGTGGATGCTACCTGACGCAGCAGGGATGCTCAGGATGCAGTGCTGAATCCATACGTGGTGAAGCAGCAGCAGCTCACAGGCCTGTGTTGATCCCTCAGCCCACCTGCTCCTGCAGCACGTGGCTGCATAACACTTCCAGAACTGTCAAAACGTGCTGTGAACAGCCAGAGCTCTGCTGTCTGACTGTTGGAAAGAAGCATTTTTTTCTTGGCTTGCAGTTCTGAGCCCTATGTGAACAGCCTGGTGAAGATGTACGTGCGCCGGCCGTATTGTTGCCATGAGCTGTTTGGGTTTGATATCATGCTGGATGAGAACCTGAAGCCCTGGATCTTAGAAGTCAACATTTCCCCAAGGTAAAGCATATTCTGAGCCACAGCAGAGTGGATAATGGCCTTTCTTTTATTACAAAGTGAGTTTGGCTTTCAATGTCCCCTGTAGCCTGTGCTGAAAGACCATGGGCTTTGAAGCCTCCCTCTCCAGATTGCAGGAATCAAAGCCCTCCCTGTCTGTAAAAGCAACATTCATCTGCAGTTCAGAAAGCTTTGCTGGGCATGCTCCAGCTAGAGCCAGAGAAAAATATGTTAAAAAAGGGAGGCCAAGGAAGGATGTGTCTTGTACAGAACGGGTGATGGCAGAGATTTCTTTGCGTGGGCAGAAGCAATCAGCAGTTCCACTGCCTCGTGCACCGTTCTTTGCTTTCTGTCGGCATTCGGCCGTGTGGTGTCGGCTGTGCAGGCAGGCCAGGAGCTGCAGTGTAACTGAGTATGGCCTCTCCTGCCTGCGAGAGTGGGTGGGCATGAGCTGTACACAGAGCCATGTATGTGGGGCTCTGGGGATGGATTTACCTATTTCTAGCTAACTTGGGAAAAGATGGGAAAATTAACTATTTCTGGTAGGAAGCCCCCCCGTCAAAGAGCTGTTGTCAGGATTTTTCTCTGGGTGTCCTGTGGCTGGTTTCATGAGGGAAGCGACAGGTTGGTGTTTGTATCCTGGTCACTAATAACCCAGGGATTGATCTTGGGCCCATGGAGTTCAATACCTCCATTCTAGCATTCAGGCTGCTGTGATGCTTCCTCTCTGCAGCCTCCACTCCAACTCCCCACTGGATGTGAGCATCAAGGGCCAGATGATTCGGGACCTCCTCAACCTCGCTGGTTTTGTTCTGCCAAGCAGTGTGGCTTCAAGGACACAGACAACAAGTGGCTCTACCTTCAGGTTAGGCCACTTCTCTGTCAGAGAAGCAGGCTTTTTTCTTGAGGGATTTTATCTGGGCAGGGGGCTGCTTGGAGCCCAGCAAACACTGGCTCCTAGCTGTTGAGAACCTGTGCTTACTGGTGCTTCAGCTGTGGGTCCAGAGAACTTGCCTCATTGCCTGAGTATCTGGTTCCTGTGGTCTCTTCAAGGCAGAAAGATTTATGCCCTCTCTGCGGGTCCATAGTTGGAAATGAGGCCAATGTAATTTGGGCTTGCTCTGCAGTTAGTCAAGTTGTGCTCTCTTGTCCTTACTCCTGCCAGAACTAATATGATGTTAAGTTTCACTGCCTGTCTGTTTGCTTGGAGGACTGGCTGGCTCTGTTTGGGCTGGATCCGCTTACCCTCTGACTTACCAGAACTGACATGCTGCTTCCTGGAGCAAGAGGAGCACCTGTTATTTTGCAAATACTGGAGTGATCAGTTCTTTAGGCAGGACTGCAGGTGTCATGCTGCCAACCTGTGGGTGGAGGGGTGCACAGTCTTCATAGCTAACATGGCTGTTTTTTGCAGAATGCTAATTCCTGGGTGTGTGTCCAGCCAGGCCCCTAATTCTTCTATGTTTCACCACAGCTAGGGCTTATCCTAGTTTCAAACTGGATGGCTGGAAGGAAACCAGTCTGTTTCCTGCATCAGAGTGGCTACTAACCATATGTCACTGAAGTATCAGCTTGCTGGGTTAAGCATCAGCATGCAGTGATGTGTGGGTGTGCCAAAAGATGGGACTCTTGCCCTCTGAGTGCCCTGTGCCTTCAGTGGAGAAGCCTGGAACATGGGCCCGTTCCAGATGGGCAGTTCTCACCAGCTATCTGCGGTGCTTTGATCACACGCTGGTTTGCCACTTCCAGTGGAAGTGCTGAAGGGCAGGTGTCCTCAGAAAGACTTACAGGGGATTAAATGGATCCTTAACATGGTTCAGATGTTGCATTACATGGTTTCTTGCATCCAGAGGCAGGCTTGTTTAATTGTATTTCCTGCCCTGGGGAGCATATGAAGGGGTTTTTTCGCATTTTCTAGAATTCCAGTAGATATGTATGCTCCCTAAGCACTGTGCAGCGCAGACTAAAGGTTCTGCTCTCCCTGTTTGGATCTGCACTCAAGTTTTGCAGCAGCAGAAATAGAAAGCTATGTTGATAGATGGGTTAAAAAGTTTTCAACAAGTATCTCCCAGATTCTGGTATTCCCAAATGGTTTAGTTGGCACTTAGAATAGATGGTTGCTGGTCAGATAGTACAAAAGGCCAGGATTTCCCATGGCATGTGGCTAAATTTGAGTCCTGAGCATACTTGGATATTGCCAGAGGAAGTTCTTGATCTAAGAGTCCTCTTCTTCCTTGTACAGTACAAATACTGAGTACTTGTATCCCCGTCCCTGTGCTTGCAGTTAGGAAGCTGTGTTCCAAGTGGGATGTGAGATCCCACCAGGCTTCATGTGAATCACGTCATGGTGTGTCTTTGACCCTATTGCGTCCTATGTGAGTGTCACCTTTTGGGCATTTCCACACTGAAATGCCTTTATGAGGGGCTGGTAGAGTCCTTCTAGTTTCCCTGCCCACATCCTTCCCAGGTTCTGTGCTGATGCACAAGGTCATGGATCCATCACTAATCTCAGAACTAGTGAAATCCTTGGAGAAAGTGTTCTCTCTTCCATGTCATTTTCATGAGGGTGTCATTTCTCTCAGAAGTTGCTGGGAGCAGCTCTGCCATGACAGGACTTTGTCTTCTCCACTTAAATGCTCTGTTGTCTCTCGTGTCCTCAGTCTGGGCAGTGCTTTGAAGGAGAAGCCCAAGCCAGCAGCTGAGCATTTGAAAGCAGAGAAGATGAAGAAGGCCTATTACTTGATGCAGAAGATACCTGACCAGGTACAAAATAACCTCCTCTGTTTTTTGCACCATCATGCCAGGCCCATGTCCCAGCCAGTCCCATATGTCTATCCCTCTTTCTTCCTCAGATTGTGCTCTTCTCTGGGGTCAGCCAGATCATGGGGTGCACTTGGGCTCCAGTGGGTTACAAGACAGTTGGTCAGAAATAAATTTGGTTTGCTTAAGCCACTGTCTGACTGACTCATCTGTACATTAAAAGAGGTGTGTGCTGAGGGGCACATTACCCACCGGTCCCCAAATAGAGTGAGCACTGCCTGTTCCTCCTTATGTCTCTGTGCAGCTCTTACAGCCTTTGCCAGCTGACCCCCATGCTCGGTTAGTAGGGCCACTGGCCTTGTGTGCCTCCTGGCAGTGTATTTAAGAGAGGCTAGGCTGCAGAATTGGTGTTCTGTTCAATTCTGAGCAGTGTTGGTGTCACCATTGAGCCTAGATTCCTTCCACAGTTTCCATGTAGCCTTTGTCCCAAAGATCTCAGACACATGGAGACCTCTGCTTGAGAGATGCTTCTCTCTGACCTTGAGTTGCTCTTGTCTGCAGGATTTTTATTCTTCTGTCTTGGACGTCCTGACTCCAGATGATGTTCGCATCCTGGTGGAGACAGAGGATGAGTATTCCCGGCGCGGGCAGTTCGAGCGGGTGTTCCCCAGCCACATCTCCATGCGGTACCTGCGTTTCTTCGAGCAGCCTCGTTACTTTAACATCCTGGTGACCCAGTGGGAGCTCAAATACTACTTGAATAGACACAAAGGTAACTGCCCTCCAAAGCCTGGCACAGCCACCTGACTCAGGCAGGCTGCCTGCCAGCAGTCGTGGGAGACTTCTGAGCTGTTCATGTTGAGGGGGAGCTGCCTGCCTGCATACTAACCCCTAGGAAATGTGTTACCTTCCCAGACTGCTTCAAACATCACAAAAAGCTTATTCTGACTTGATGTGAGGTGATGACTGTTCTGGAATGCACAGCACCAGCACTTCTAGGTGCCCTGGGCATAAAGCAGACCAGGATTTTGCCTTCAACCTGTAGCTTTGGCGTCTTACTGCTCTCTCTTGAGGGAGAAACAAGCTGGATTTTCTGGGCTTTGCTCCTGACAAATGATCTATGAAGGAAAAATTTGGCCCATTCTCTGGTCTCCTGCAGCTTTCTAATTGATGAAAACCAGCATACAAATAGAAATTTTTCCTAAACACTGGAAATCTAGCTAAATTTCTATCCTTTCAGAACACAATTCTGTATTTCAATAAAAAACATTATCCTTTAATGAAGCATAGCTGGGCTGGACCAATTCCTTCTCACCCAGGGTTGTCTCTATTAGGGCAGGAGTATAAGCTATTTGGAAGAGAGAGCAAATGAGGTCTAGCATGAAAGGCTAGAGAAAATTAAAATATTCTGCATCTCAAGGCTTTCCATCCAATATCTGATCTAGATGGAGAGGCTTCTGGAGGAGCTGGCTCTCCACTGCAGTGATTGTATGTGTGCTCCTCACCTGACTATCAAGGAGAGAAAGAAGAATAATGCTTTTGTCACTTTTCACTGGTGTTAAAGCAAGTATTGAAGGGGTCAATGACAATCTTTCACAGAGAGATGGTACATTATAGCCTTCTCTGGCTGTGTTGTCATCATGTGTCATCCTTTGCCTTGCTAATATCTTTGCTGGATGACCTTCCATCAACTAGAAGAAAGATTCTGTCATCATCCTCACTGAAGTGCTGCCCTGAACTTTGCTGCTCAGGCAAGGGTCCCAGTTCAGTGCTCCAGCTTCCCCAGAGAAACCAAGCAAGCAGATTTGCTCTTATCCCATCATTGGTCTTTACCTCTGAGCAGAGCTCACCCTCCCCCATCACCTTCCTGTTCCCCTGTGTTCCATACAGCACACCTCTTTTCCTAGCCAGCAAGATGCAAAGCTCAGGTCCACAGATCCAGGACAAGGCATCTGAGCTGCCCTGCTCTCCTTGGCCCCCAACATGTGAGGATTTTTTTACAAGGCTCTGGGGTTTGCTGAAATGTCACCCAAGGAACAGGCTTTGGACGGCAAAGATTTCTCCTGGTATCTTATAGAAAACCACAGTAATCCCAGCTGGATAGCATCAACATATTAGCCATTGCTCTGCTGGTTCTTAATTCTAGCTTTCTGCTATGACCCTAAGGCTCTTAAATAAGAAAACAGGATGGGAGTAGTCCTGGATTTCTCAATATTTCTGGGTTGGCCAAGAGCAGGCTGCTTGGCTGTAGTGGGGACAGTTAGCAGGAAGCCCTGGAGGAAGCGGATCCTGTTCAGTGCAGTTGAACACATGGCTCTACTTCAAAATGATCTTGCTGTACTCTGGAGCAACACAACTTGTGTGTGGTGAGAGGATTGGTCCCTTCCAGTCATACCAACGATGATCTTGGCCTGTGCCAGTCTTGCCCTGTCAGGGATGAAGTCTCAGCCCATGTTGATCTCTGGATGGATCCCTGTATGGAGGAGATGATGCACTGGAATGCTGCAGCTGATGAATGCTGTGCAAGGAGGAGGTTGCCTGAGCTGCCCTCCTCTGGGAAAGGGGTTGATGACAGCAAAGCTGCTCTACATTTGCACGGTGGGAACTTTCACCGGTGCAGCCCAAATCAGGTACTGCTATTGGCAGGCACTGGGCTCAGGGGGACAGCCAATCTGGTCTAATTTGGCAAATCCTCTGTTGCCCCAGTTTCCCTGTTTCGCTGAGCCTGCTGCAAGGAATGTCTTGGCTCCCTGGGAGGAAGGCAAGCACTGCAGCAGCCCACGCACTGATGTTTGCTTGTACAAAGGGTGAACGCCCTTGGTTTACCCCGTGTTTGCTGGCACTCAAGCACGTGTTCAAGTAGTTATTGCATAGCATGTTCTCTGTGGTCAGTGCAGCATATTTGCATGAGCTGAGAAGGCTTAACTCTCTGTAAACCTGGCTGTTCATTTTCACTTCTCGTCTTCTGTCACTTCCCAGGTCTGGAGCTACTGAAGAACTGGTGTGTCAAAGGGTACCACACTGGGGCAGGGACGGATTTGGCCCAGATGGTGCGTATAACTGTGGGTAAGGTAGGCAGAGATGGTTGTTTACCTGCACAGACTTGGGTAGAGATCCTGCTTGTTCTGCCTCCTCTGGCTCCAGTCTTACCTGTTTGCCTTCTTCCATCTTTGCCAAGGCCTTCAGGAGTCTGGAAAAACCCATGCTGCCCTATTTCCCACAAACGTGAAGTCATGAACAGTATATCAGATCTGCAAGTATTTTGCATCTGAATATCCTTGGATGCACTGGGCACAGCCCTACATATTTGGCATCTATTCTGCCCATTGTTCCTCTCTGTGAGGGAGTCGTCTCTGTCTGTCACTCCTGTGCCTTACAGCAGAATGCTACTCTGAAAGAAACCCACTCTTTTGACCTCGAGATGCTCTACTCCCACTTTCAGCAGAGGGATTCATTAGGCAGAGAGCAAAGATTGCTCTGTTTGCTATTCTGGGAACAGTCTGGTGGCAGTGACAGTGCGCAGCAGTGAGGCAGCTCTAGCTGAAGCTCTCTAGGGCAGCCTATAGCAAAGCACAGCAGGCTTGAGGGATTTTTGCCATGACTTAAATAGCCATTCTGTTGTCTTCCTCTCCTCCTGCAGTGGTCATTGCCAAAGTCGTTCTTCCTCCAGAAGAGTAGCATTCAATCAAACAGCTTCAGCAAACTGGAACTGGGCAGTCTGGGGTGAGTTTGCACTGGCCGTGACATTCGTGGTGTTCATAGTGTGGCTTTTGGACTGGTGTCCTGGTAAAAAACTGGCAGCCCAAAAAGCAGCTTTATTTGAGGGGGAGGAGCAGGTTGGTTTGCAGTCTGTGAATCCTCTGCTCTTCGGAGAGCCAACAGATGGGGTTGGCATGATGTCTCTGCAACTGGGCATGTCTCCTTGGCACTCTACACCCAGGTTAAATGGGAGTGAAGCTCAGAACAGCTAGGTTAGGTGATGCTTGGAGCTGTCATGGTCAGAACATGCTGTCAAGATATTCCCCTCATTGGAACTTGTATCACTTCTGTTGACACTGATGTGGTTATCAGTGAGCAGAGACTCTCAGCTGCAGCAGTGGCTGGGGGAACAGTGAGGCCACTCCAGGTCTGTTGTACTCTCCCAGCTTCTCCGAGCAAAGCTGGGCTGCTGACAGCTTCCTGCAGAGGTGGAGGACTGGAGTTAGTCTGGGTGAGCCAAAGTGAAGGGGAGGCACATCCCTGGTCTCTGGTTCTAAGAAAAAGATCATCACTGCTCCTATGCTGAGGCCAGAGTGGAGTTGGGTTTACACAAAGACAGGGAGACTTAGCTGTGACCCTGAAGTCCCACTGATATCGGGATACCTGTTGGGGTCAGTGATGCTGCCTGGGATGGGAGATACAGAGTAGGTGAGCCTGGTAGCCCTGTCTCTGAGTCCATGTGTTGTGATAAAGCAGATTATTATTGCACCATGGTCCTGTTGGTCCTTTTTCACTGTCCCTGAGAAGCTTGGTGTCTCCTTTTTGTTGCAGCACGTGCTTCCCTTCAGCTGGTGAAAATCTCACAAGTTGCCTAGAGCCCAGCCCTACTCAGAGCTTACCTCTCAGCAAGTGCACTGGTGGAGCCAACCAGAGACCTCCTGGCTGCCTCTCTGACACTGCCCTGGCGATGTGACCAAGCAACCGCCATCCCTCCCTGGGGACACATCAACCTACCTCAAAGGAAGAGACAGAAGCTGGCTCTGTAGAGCAAGAACTATGGGAGCCCCTAGCACTGCACACTTGTTCTGGGCCTGGTTGTAGAGAGGGATGTTTTCCTGGGCAAAGAGGAGACCCGTGTGACTTCAGTTTCTAAAACAAGTGGCAAAGCTTGAGGAAGTGGGAGTTATCTGGCCTTTCTCCTAGACTGTTCTTAAAGCCTGACATGGTGGTTTCTTGCTGCATGGGAGCATGGCTGAGCCTGCCCTTCTTGTCCCCAGTCAGCACGGGCTAAGCCCTTGCTCACCTGTGTCTGTCTTGAGTTGCTGGCGGCCGAGTCTGCTCTTGCCCTGCTGCAGCCTGGTCCCTGGAGATAAGTCCCTAGTCCTCACGCCTGGGAGGAAGTAAAACTGTCCAGTTTTATCCTTTCTGAACGTCTGTGTCAACATCCTGCCCTCCCCAACAGGCAACAGGCCCTGCAGGAGACCTCAGACTTGCACATCGCAGCTCAAGAGAGACCACGGGTACCAGCGTGGCTCCAGTTTGTTGTGGGGCTGTAGGGCTGCTGGGGAGGGAGCATCCTTCTTAAGGCCATTGGCTCTCTGGTGTGCCCTGCAACATGTGTGCACGGACTGCAGGCTAGTGCTCTTCTCCTGGGTCAGCTCTCTGTTTTCCCTTTGTTTCTCAAGGATTTCTATTAAATTTTAACACTTAACTACTCTCCTGGTTTTCATCTGCCTTCCTTTCCCTGTCCTCTGCGTCTGATGTGAAGCTCACCCCTTCCCATGCTTCACTCTCGTGAGCTCTCGTACAGGGAGGGTTTGTGCTACCACCCCACTTTTCCCTGTCCTTCCCAGAGCTGGGGGTAATTCTTGTTCCCCTGTGGCAGGTAAACATATACCTCCCTGCATGGAAGAGCAGCTCCTAGCATAACTGCCTTTGGTCTTGGGGTCTTATGTCTTAGGGACTACCTGTGTGTCATTAACCAAGGGGAATAGTGCAGTCCAGCCTTGCAACAGGGGTAGGAAGGGTTGGGTGCCCAGAGCTGGCTCTTGCTGGTTCAGGGTTCTGTCCCCTGAGTATCGAAGGTGAATGCTGGGTGCTTGGGCAGGTTCTTGGGGCCCAGAGAAGGTGCTGATGTGTGGGCCCTGGGTCTGGTAGAAAGCCCTTCCCTCCCCTACCCTTGCAGCCCACCATTTCCCAGCGCTGGGCCCTGTTTCTCTGGTCTCCTTGGTGACAATCTCATCTCTCCTCGGCTTCTCTCCAGCACCTGAAAATAGCCTCCGAAAGTGGAGATGCCTGCTCCCCTCCCTGCTGCCAGCACCCGCGATGGCCAGGCTGGAGCCAGACTGTTCTGCACAGCACAGCTGTAAGGGCCTGGCCCCACGAGCCCCTGCAGCACTGCAGGATTTGGGCCACCCTGTGAACCAGCACTGAGGCCCCAGCCTTGTCCCTCCTCTTGTAGCCTGCTGTGAGGCAGCACCAGGGAACTCCGTGTACCCCGCCACGGGCCACAATCCAGCTGTCCTCTGCAGCCAGACAGAGCCCTATCCCTTCAGCCCTGTAGCCACCAACCCTGTAGCTCGCCCAACAGCCTCCCAGAAATAGAAAATGGAGCCGGGAGTGGGCAGAAGGCGAGCTGGAGCGGGTGGTCCTGCGGCAAGGAAGGGGGTTACCCCACAGGTAGGGCTGCCGCCGCCATGGGGCCGGGGTCGCCGCGGACAGTGAGCTGCAGCAGGACCCCGGGCAGGGACAGGCAGGGCTGGGCAGCGTCGAGGAAAAAGGGTCCGGTTCCACCCGGCACATGGCTGGACCCAGCCGTTCTCCGGCATCCCTGTGGAGAGGAACGCTGTGCCCCCCACCCG